ATTTTTTATTCCATAGTGTTTAAGTTTATGGATTAGAATTTGGTGGTCAACCGTATCAAAAGCTTTTGATAGATCAATAAAAAGTCCTAGAGTATATTGTGATATTTCAAATGATTTTGAGATTTCCCGTACAAATTGGATAATTGCATGTTCAGTTGAGCTATCCTTTTTAAAACCGAATTGATTAATGTTAAGTAATTTATTAACATGAAAATATTTGTATACTCTGTTATATATAATTCTTTCTAAAATTTTTGAAAAGGTGGAAAGAACAGAAATAGGGCGATAATTACTTATAATTGATTTGTCCCCTTCTTTAAAAATAGGAATAATTTTCGCAATTTTTAACAGTTCGGGGAAAACACCTTGATGGGTAGAAGCTTTAAAAACTTTAAAAAGAACAACTTTTAGCTGTTTAAAACAATCTATAATAACGTTTCCATTTATTTGATCTGCTCCAATTGCTTTATTTTTTTCCAAAGATTTGAAGGCTCTTTCAAACTCTTCAAACAACAATTCAGAAGACAACTCAACTAAACCAATGCAATTATCAATGGGTACTAGAAAATCAGTAAATAAAGATTTGGTGTTTGGGATTTTTTTAGAAAGTGTTGGACCTATATCGATAAAAAATTTGTTAAATTCTTGAGCTATAGTTCTTGGTTCGTATAAACTTTTGTTATCGACTCTAACCATTTGTGGCAGAAAACCTGAGCATGATTTTTGTTTTCCAATAATTTCATTCATTATTTGCCATGTGCGTTTTGTGTCATTTTTAAATGTATTGAGTAATTGGGAGTAATAATTTTTTTTTAGATTTTTGCGAATTTTTTCAAATAGGTTTTTGTAGTCCTTGTAAATTTTTTCGTTTTTAGGTGTTTTTGTTTTCAAAAAATTTATATATAGTTTTTGCTTAATTTTGGACGATTTTTTAAAGCCCTTAGTGATCCAGGGTGTATTTAAGCTCTTAGTAGTTATTTTATTTTCAATGATTGGGAAGTTAGCATCGTATACAGAAAAAAATGTTTTGAAAAAAGACTCATAGATATTGTTAGCATTATCATTAAAATTTATGTTATTCCAGTGTAGTAATGAAAGTTGATTTTTGAATAAATTAAGGTTAGCCTCATTTTAAATGCGTTTTCTAATTACTCTTTGTGCGGTTAAAGTTTTTTCAGAGTTTGTATTATCTAATTTTAGGAATAAAGGGAAATGATCTGATATATCGGTTCGCAAAATACCTACTTTTAAATCATTGTTGAAAATATCTGAAGTTATTATATTATCTATTAGAGTTGCTGAATTTGTCGTTACTCTTGTAGGTTTGTTTATTAAAGATACTGAACCCGTTTCAAAAATTTCATCATAAAAATTTTTAACTTTAAGGTTATCATTATAAAGAAAACAATTCATGTTTAAATCTCCAATTATAAAATTTTTCAACGGTACCTTTTTTAATAATTTGTTGTAAAAACATGCTAAAGTTTTCGCTTACGCCATCAGGTGGCCGATAACAAGCTTAGTAAAATTTTTTTTTTGTTGCAGTTAGTAATTTCTATAGTTGCAATTTCTTTATCGCAGTCAGAAACGCTTAAATCATTCCTAAAACAATGCTCAAAATTTTCGTGAACATAAATTAAAACTCCACCACCGCGCTTATTTGTTTTCCTTTCCATTAAAAATGTATTAAAATGAGGTAGATGAAAATTATTTAGGTCTTCTAAAGAAATCCAAGTTTCTGTTAAACAAATTATATTAAAAACATGTTTAGTTTCTTCTAATAAGTCTAAAAGTTTTTCAAAATTGCTATTTAAGCTTCTTATATTGAGGTGGAGAATTAACATTTGATTATTATTTCTTTCATTCTCATTCTTCAAAAGAAACCCTTCTAGTTGGCTAGGAAAGTAATACGAACAATCTGAAAATTTATTGTGATAAATATTGTAATCAGAGTCTAAATTTTCATTTAACGTAGAGTAATTTGTTTTTTGAATTTTAAAAACACGAGATTCAAAGTTTTCATTTGTAGCCATGATTAATATATTTTATTTAAGATTTCTTTTTAGGAATGCCCATAAAATTATTCGTTAAAATTGTTTTTAAAAGAAGTTTTAACATAAACAATTTTGTCATACCTTACCGTAACACTTTCACCATTCAATCGCCTTTCTTTCACTTCAGCGAACAATTTTTTTCGAATAGCGACGGTTTCTCGAGAAAAATCTTCGTTCACGAACGTATTTGTGCCTTTGAGTCGATACAATTCCTTCAATATTCTTATTTTGTCTTTATATTTCTGAAGATTTAATATTATAGTCCTTGGTCGTCCATCGTTTTTTCGTCCAGTGCGGTGAGCTCTTTCAATTTCAACATCTTTTAGTCCAAGTTTTTCGGTGAAGAATGTTTGGACTTTTTTTTCTGTATCCCCCCATGATTCTTTATCATTCTCGTAAATTCCTTCAATCCTAAGATTGTTTCGGCGCGATCGATCTTCTAAGTTTCGTTGTTTTTCTTTTAATACATTATCTATTTTTGTATGTTCCATTTTTTTATCTAGATATTTGTTGTTAGTAACTATTTTTTCGTCAATAAGTCCTTCATTAAAATTAAGGCTTACCTTTATATCTTCTAATTCTTTTGTTAATTTTTTTATACAATTTGCATTTCCATCAACATTTTTCTCTACTTTTTCAAATCTATCGTTTATTATTTTGATGTTAGCGCCAATAATATCGAGAACTGCTTTTTCTTGCTTTTGAAACATTTCTTCCGTTTCCTTTTTAAATTCTTTGAACATTTCTTTTAATTTCTGGAAGTGTTACAGCCATATTATTAAGTTAAAATTTTTATTAAAGATACGTCTTTATTTATGATAAATAAAAAGTTTTTTTTTTTTTTTTTTTTTCGCCACGAGGTAAAAAGTGCGTCCGTTCTTGTTGAAAGCTTGAGTTCAATAGTTCAATAGTTCAAAAGCTTGAGTTCAATATCTTGCTACATTAAAAAACCACTTGTTATCTTGCTACATTAAAAAAACCAATTAAAAATACATTTTGACTATGATAAGTCATACAATAAAAAATGACTTTTCATGGTCAAATATGCCAGTTTTGGCAAAGCTTTGCACTTATGCCAGTTCGCACTTATGAAATTCGCGTTATTCATCTTTTTTTAAAGTATACCTTAAAGTTAATAAACCGTATACTGTAACCGAGGATCTCTAATCCATAGTAATTTTATAAAAAGTTTTGTTCAGTTATTTTTATTGTTTTTAAACAAATTTTACCAAAAAAAAAAAAAGCAAAAATGACTTTAAACAAATTCTGTTCTCGCTATATTTATAAATGCATATATGTATATATGCATATATCTACTCCTGCTTTATTAGATCGACAAAGCCTAGAAACTTCATAATCAATTTGTTGTTATATATATGCTTGTTTTAGCTTTTCTAATAACTCTTTTTTCACATTTTTATTTGATTAATAAATTTATAAATATACTCCTCGGTGTCGCTAAATATCTTGTAATTTTGTACTACTTAAATGACTTAACGTTCGTCATCGAACAAAGGACAAGTTGTTTTGATTAAAAAATTTACATAACTATCTCATCTTCAAGGAAGAACTCTTAGGTTTGAACTGCAAGCTTTTTTAACTTTTTCATGAAATCGTTAAAGAAATTACCCGCATCTAGAAAGACGTTACTTCACTTTTCCATTGAAATTTCATCAAAATGGACAGACACTATTTTGTACATGAAACATCTCTGATGAGTTTATACTGATGGGGTGAGTTTGGACAAACACCATTTATGAGGCAAAAAGAAATTTTTATTTTTTCAATTCTTTTTTTTATCCTGAAAAAAAATGATCAAAGTTAGCATAATAAAAGTTTAAGTAAAAATGTCTGGATTAAAGTATATATCGTAAGAGGTCTGGATTAAAGCAGTAGCAGATCCAGGTCATTGTCCTAGGGGGTAATTTACCCAACAAAAAAATTTCACTTTTTTTTTTTCTTCAGATAAACCACTTTTTTATTTGATTATTTAGAATATTTTTGGAAAAGTTTGTTACTAAATATATTGAATGTAACTGTATATAAATATCTTGAAAAAATCAAAAGTTGAAAATAAATACTTAGTTTTTAACATGGAAGTATAAAACAGATGGAAGTTCAACCGCTTTGAAATTCTTCGGGACTATGCTTGTAACCTTTTGTTTCGTAAACAATAAGAAAACGACATCAAGACTGTACTTAAACGCTTAATCTTTATACGTTGACGCAAATAGATACGTTTATAATAGTTTAAAAATATAGTGTTTTGAAGGTTCGCCAATAATATTCAAGAAAAACATTAAAAATGGCGCAACGTAACGGCAAACAACAATTTTTATATAAACTTTATATTAAATGAATGGAGTACTACAAGAATGAATGGAGTTATGATATACATCTAATAAAACTTTAAACTTAAGTTATTTAAAAAACAACTTTTTTGATTTTTTAAAAATTGTTTTAGTTGTCTTTTTTATCAAATGTCGTGTTATGACTTGAAGCAAGAAAAGAAGCTTAAACTAACATATGCTTTTAAAATCAAGTGGTTCTATTTAATTACCGAGTTTTAATAAACCTTTTGTTGAATAATTGCAATTACTAATGGTTAAAAATTTGCAGCATATCCCTAGAATGATTCATTTTTTAATGTTTTAATAAAGATCATTTCAGTGAATTTTGTTGTTTTTTTATCCAGTAAAACTTGTTTTTTTTTTATTGTCGGTTACAAGCATACTCCCGAGACGACTTGAAATTGCTTTGATGTTTGCGGCTCAATGAACTTCCATCTGTTTTATACTTCCATGGTTTTTAATAAGAGACGGATTTTATTTTCACGATACATTTAAAAAATGAGCCCGTTAAAATCATGGTGCACAGGCTGGAGTATTGTCTGCCTGTAGGTAAATCTGGCCCTGTCTGTAATATGGAACAAAAGACAAAATAATATCTATAGTATTTATATATTTTTTTTTAATAAAGACTTTTTAACAAAGTTTAACAAGCAACAATATCAAATTGAGCTTTCTAGTTTTCGAAGATGCAAAACTATCAATAATTTCTTCAACATTTATGATGCAATCTCTATGGATATGCATGCTAAGCCATTTAATCGTTCTTGTCCTATATTGGATCATAACCAATGCAAATAAAGTGGAGAAAGTTCTAGAACATTCTACGGAAATTACGTGGCTTCTTTTACTGATAGTTTTTAATTATTTTAATTGTAGTTATGTATTAAGCTTTTTTTGTAATGTTGATTTTGTGGGTAGATATATTATATAAATGGATGTAAAAGTTTTGTAAGATGAGTTGAATTTCGCTTTCTCTATGCTATCTTTCTAACACGACTACTTCTGTCTTTCACTCTAACATATCTTCGTTCTTCCTAAACTCACTTTACTCTTGGTCCATAGAGTGGTTTATGACGCTCCTTGGGGAGCCGAACCTGTCTTTGCGGGCCTTGGTAATGTGGCCTCTATATGGTAATTAGCTGGAGGAGGATAAACCACAATACCAATTTTTGGAAAGAAAAGAAAAAGAAAACTTTTGTTTCGAGCGAGAAAATTACAAGTTTTGAGTCTTTTTAAAACCGAGAAACTCCGTTCTCCCGAAGCAACGCTAACAGGTAGGGTGAAAAGCAGTTGCAAAATACATTTAATTAAAGAAAAGACATTACCATCACATTGCTTGTATGCGTCCAGTGCACATTCAGGTAGGTCTTGTTGCTTTTTGATTGCGTCTGTCCACTTTAGTTCCCAAAATTCAAATTCTGAAGAAACTTACTTTAATTGGACATTCTCATCAACCGTATTTATATTGGGCAGCCCTTTCATAAAACTCAGTATATTAGTTATGGATGCTGTTAACTCTATCTTTGTTTTATTTAATAAATTTCTAGGTATTGCAACATTTAATTTAAAAGAGTTTAAATTTTTATTGTAAATCTAAAAGTATGCTATCAAGTAGCGGTAAATAAAAATTGACTCTATAGTATGTTAGAGGATTATTGGTATTAAGGTTTGCGCGATTAATTTGTTTTCCTGTAATTCGTGGAATCTTGATTTTTAAACCTAAGTCTTTTAGTAACTTTGATGCAGTTATAAATATAGAGTTAAAGTTTTCTTCTTTCTGTCGTCTTTTATTTAATATCTTTATGGTATGTTTAAGAATAGTTTTTGCATATTCCTTATCCAATATTTTTTTTGAAGAGCTTTACTTAAAAAGACTGTGGTATTTAACACATTAGCTAATGAACAAAGTGTTATTACAAATAAAGGCTCAGATATTGCATTTTTAGTAGTGTAACCTTTGTTGAAGAATCCCGTTCATTTCACTGAGATATCAAATCAAGTGTTTCTACTATATTTATTAAATAATATTTGAAACTTAACACAGAATCATGCCGTTCAATCCATCTTGTTTCGCATAAGCTTGTAAGCATTTCCTTATTTATATATTTAAGAACGTTACTTCGCTTCGGCGAACTTTAAAAAAATGATATTACTTCTTTCATTGTGCCAATTGTATTTCCTACAGCTCGCACAGACGAACATTTAGAAACTGATAAGTTTAAAGCATGGATGTAGCATGGGCTTTTTATTGCGTTTGGTAGGATCTTCTGTAATTTCGTGACTGCTCCGTTGTTTTCACCTAACATAAGGCTGCATCCATCAGTACCTATACCAACACAATCTTTTAAATTTAAGCCAAATTTTGTCAATGTGTTTGCAACTGTGTTTGCTAGCAATTCTCCTGTTAGTACAGGTTCATAAGTAAAATTAGAATAATTTTCCGTATGGCAGTTTACAAAATCAATGAAATCTTCACGAATTTCACAGGTATTAACATTAATATATCTTAATACGACTGTCATTTGAGAACTATGACTGGTATCCGTTGTTTCATCTAATATAACGCTATAAAATTTTCCTTTAAAAATTCTTGTTTTAATTAAGCGCTGAATTTGTTGAGCGCATAGTTCAATTATTTCATTTTGAATACTTTTACTAATGCATGTTGCTTTAGAAATATAGTTATTCAAATAGTTTTTGAAAATAATATCCTCGAAATAGCGCTCACTCGAAAGCGAAGCAATACCCGAAGATTGCCATCATTAATTAATGAAGAGTTTTGATTTATTTCAAAGATCTGCCCATCATCGTGATAACCTCGCAGAGCAATATTTTGTCGACCGAGAAATGTTATAGATTCAATTATAGGCTTTAATCGTTCTCTATTTTGATTTATTTCAAAGGTCTGCCCATCATCGCGATGACCTCGCAGAGCAATATTCTGTCGACCGAGAAATATTATAGATTCAATTATAGGCTTTAATTGTTCTCTATTTTCTTTAGCCTGTTTAAATCTTCCTTCGTTAACTAAATTACAAACATCTGTAGACGGACATTCATATATTCTGATGAATCTGATGCTGCCAACATAACAACTTTATGATACGCATTGCAATCATGTAATTGTAAGTCTCCATCCCTAACCAAAGGCTTTGAATAACTTTTAAGAGGTAAAGTAACTAGCTTGAGTAATTGCACTTGAATATGTATTCCCCCAACTTTTGCAAAAAGAAAACTTACAAAAAATTCCATAAATGCAGTCTGAAATCATTATCCATGGAAACTTCTGTATATGTTTCTCGGATAAAAAGCAATTAACATTCTTACCCTTCTTTAGATGCACAGAGTATGGATATTTGTAATTTGGACCAGGAAACCAATTGCATTTCAATATTCGGTATTTATCTTTTTCAGTTACTCGACGTGTTAAAAATACCCCAATGTCTATAGGCAAACAGCTATTATCTTTTGTCGCGGGTATCGAATCTTCTTTATTAATGTCTGCGTTAGTTTTATTTGTGAAATTACCAGCTACCATACCAAGTTCTGGGGAAAAAGGATTGAGTTTCATTGTAATTTGATTATTTTCAGCGCCGCCAATAAATGTTTAATTTAATTGTTCAGAAGATGACCCGGAAGATAAAGGCAAAACGATAGGACCAGCATGGTCCTGCATTGGTAGAATTTTACTTCTTTTGACAAAATAGTCATCTAAAGAGCTTGTCCTCTTTACCCTGTTGGTCATTGTAGCTAATAAAAATAATTTCATTATAAATGGTAAAATTCATTTGTTATTTATTTATATAAAATAGTAATTAACACACTTTTGTTTTCTAGATAAGAAACTAATTCATAAGAAATTCATTCAGTAACTATTTAAAATAAAAAATTCTTCGTATCTTATTTAAATTCAACTTAAAATGTGTAAAAAAGCGTAATATAAATAGAAGTGTTACAATATCAATTGTTGAAAAATAAATACTTTTTTTATTAACCACCAAAAACGGCATCACGTATATAAATTATACTACAAATTAAAATTAAATTAATAAAAAAAAAAAAAAAATTACCATTTAAACCAAACCTATACATATATTTTTTTGTAAGTTTTTAAAAACAGTTTTTTAAAATAGAACAAAAGTAATTTTACTGTTTATTATTGTTATCTACTTATATAATAGAATGAATGAATGATGATAACATTCAAATGTTTCGAAACTTCTTTGTTTTTTCTTCGATATTGTTAAAATGCAACAGTAGATTTTTTTTGTGGTATGAAATAAATTTAGTTTTGCTTTAGTTTTAGTTTTTGTTTTAGTTTTAAAAAAAGTAAATAGTTAGCTGCTGAACAATTTTTTGTATTTTGTTATTTCTTTTACAAATTTTTAATAATATTTTGAAGTTTGACATTTCTTAGAGGGAAGGGGGAGGGGGTTGTTACCCCTTACCCCCTCCCCTCCTTTGTATCCGCCACTGGATTAAAGTATATATCGTAAAAGGTCTGGATTAAAGTATCTATCGTAAAATTCAAGTAAAAAGTCTGAAAAATTGAAACACAAATTTATTTTATTATTTAAAAACCCTGAAAAATCTAAAAACTCAAATGCTTTTAAAAATCTGCTTTAGAATATTTGAAAAAAATATATTTTTTATAAAAATATTTTTATAAAAAATCAAAATATTTAATCAAAAATTGGTAGAAATAATAAAATAAAGTTAAATCCCACTAAGGGCATCCATAAAGTATGTACGCAGTAAAACCACTGATTGTGAGTGTACGCACCTGTTTGTATTTACATACGCTTTATTTATTTTCAAAATTACCTTTCCCTTTCCCAAACGCGTAAATTTTTCAAAACATTAAAAACAGAAAAACTTTTTTTTTGAATTAAAATTGTCTCTGTTACATAACATAATATTGAGTTATTAAACTCGTTTAATAGTTTAAACTCGTAATTCAAGTTTAAACTCGTAAAATTCAATGCTTTTTATTAAAAAGTAAAAAAGAGAGTTAATCAAGTAGCATACTTTGACACCTATACGCATTTGTACGTTTTTGAGTTACCCCACTCCCCCAAACCTGCGTACAATCCCCCAACTACCAAATCCTAAATCTCCAAGGGGCCAAAAAACCAAAGACAGTGATTCGACTTGAGTAAAGCGAATATTTTTAAAGCCAGTTTAAGCGAAATTATGTTGAAATTTGGAAGACATAAGATGTTAGTTTGAGTAAAGACAAATTTAATTTAATTGATGTTAAAATATAAACAAACACTTACATTAAAAACTAATAAAAAGTTTGAAAATTAATTTGGAGTAAGAAGTTGCATATATCTATTTATTTTAGCTTTTCTGATAATTCTTTTTCCACAATTAAGTTTATTTGGTTAATACTTTGGAGTAAGAAGTTGCATATATCTATTTATTTTAGCTTTTCTGATAATTCTTTTTCCACAATTAAGTTTATTTGGTTAATACTTTCTCTATGGTCATTAAATATCATGAAGTTTTGTTGTACCTCCCAGGGCTTGACATATATCACCCTATTAAAGAAACGTTGGTTTGATCAAAAAATATACATTACTATTTCATCTTCAGTCTCAAAATCTTTTTTTTCCTAGCATGTCTGATATAATTTCTTCAATATTCATTATTGGTTTGGTAGTGTTGAGAAAATTATCTGTCGGCACTGTATCTTTTGCAGTTGTTCTTTCAGAAAAAAACTCTTTTTTGATCAGAAAGCTTTTCTAACTGTTCCATGTGATCCTTAAAAAAATTACCAGCATACCTTTTTCTCTAATATTCCATCAAAACAGTTGCAAATAGTTTTGGTTTTTCAATCTCACCAAACCTTATCAAGGATTTGTATCTCACCAAATCCTTGTCAATCCTTGACAAGGATTTGTCAAGGATTGACAAGGATTTGGTCCTCACCAAACCTTATCAAGGATTTGCTTCCAATTTGAAGCTTTCTGAAAAAGATTTTTTTCTCCCTCTATTAGATCTATCAATATTTTGAACATAAAATGTTTTATAATGGACTTTAAATAACCTAACAGTGCCTTCTGTTGATTGAAGCTTTGAGTGTTTAGTGTTAGTGTTTAATGGTAGAAAAATTAGTTCTATTAATAAGAAATTATTGATGGTTTAGTTATCAAAAGTTGAATGGACAATTATCAACTAATAAAACGATTTTTTATCCTTCTTGTGTGCTATATAATGTTTTATAATTCTTTCTAATGTTTTTAATGTTGTATAATTCATTATTAGACAAGTAGAAGAACAATGAGAAGGTTAGAGGTTTAAATCTACAATACACAGAGTGTGGATTTTTACTACGCTCAACTATTTTGTTTGAGAAGGTTAAGATACAAAAACGGTGCTTGTTGACAAGATTTTACTGTCTTCTTCGTTCCACGGACATCTTAGTCAAATTTTAAAATTTTACATCTACGGAAATCGTAGTCAAATTTTTTTGTCTGGCTTTTTATTATACTGTCCAAAGTGAAGTCCCCTATTATGTTATATATTTTCCTTTCTTGGTTAATTTTTTCTACTAAATCGTTAATTTTATAAATTGTGAAGTCATTTTGCATTTTTGTTACTTCAATTATTAATGTTGTTCTTTTTTTATTTTTTGGTTAACTTATAATAATGCTTTTGAGCATATAATGTTTAACTAAACTGCTATTCATTTTTGCTTATTCGTTAAAAAAACTATTAGTAAGAAAAGTTTTAATTATTCCAATTATTAAGTTGAATACATTTCAATTATTAAGTTTATTAGAATTAGTTTATTGCAATGTTGATAATTTTAAAATAGGTGCTGCATAAAGATCAGTTTTTTTTATATAGATTTTTTTTTAAGAAATAATTATTAATCACATTAGTAAGAAATATAAATGATTTGTTGGAAACTCTTTTTTGCTAGTTACTAACTGGTTGTTATAATTAATTATTATAGCTTTTCAAAATAAAACACGTAATTTTTTTTTACATTTCGACTATAAACAAGATAAAGTTTAAAGATGTAAAAGATGACCCAAAATGATTTGTAAGTTTCTTAGACAATAGCAACCTACCAAGATCATGGTATCATGGAAACCGTCTTCACATTCTTTTACCTACTTGTTTTGTTATATAAAAAAGTGCGTTTAACCATTTTCTGACTAACGGAACAGTAAAATGTAAAAGTTTATTTTATAACACAACCGTGTCCACAAAATGTACTAAATAACCTAAATAGTGTTGTAACAAATACTAATAGAACTTTTATAATTAGGAACATAAACTGTTCCTAATAATAAAATTTGTTTATTATACACTTTAAACAACCCTTTTATGTGTTTCTCTCCTAAATCACTAAAATTCCTTTTCCACCCAATCATACTGAGATTTTTTTTTTTTGACCCAATCATACTGAAATTTTCTTTTGACCCAATCATACTGAGATTTTCTTTTCACCCAATCATACTGAGATATACTTTTCACCCAATCATACTGAGATTTTCTTTTGACCCAGTCATACTTAAACTTTCTTTCCATCCAATCATACTGAAATTTTCTTACCACCCAATCATACTGAAATTTTATTACCACCCAATCATACTGAGATTTTCTTACCACCCAATCATACTGAGGTTTTCTTTCAACTAAATCACACTGATATTTTCTTTTCACCCAATCATATTGAGATTTTCATTCTATCTTATCATACTGAAACTTTCTTTCCACCCTACCATAAGAAACTTTCTATTTTATTTCTACATCATACTATTATAAAACTTATTTTTGTGTCTGCATTTTGAAATCAACTCATTTCGTTTATTTAATAAGTTATCACCTTTATATGTTAAAATGAGGAATTTTTCGAATAAGAAAAGATGGCAAAGTTTTGACAAGACGTTTTTTTGCCTTTATTACTTCCACGCTTTAAAATTTGTATGTGATAATATCAAAGTTTTGGAATGAAAAGTACGATTATTTACTAGTATATTTTAAAAGTTACAATGCCTCCAATGTAGTTACAATTTGTAAGTTACAAATTTTAACAATTGTATTTTTCATTCCAATGGGAATTCCAGCCAATAATAAATAATTTATACAACTCACTTTATTTTTAATTCAATTGCTTGACTAATAATAAAATAAAATATAAAAATATGATAAATACAATCGTTTGAATGTATAAAAATGTAAAAAAATGTTAAAACATTAACAGAAGAAATCGTTAAAACATTAAAAAAAATCGTTAAAAATATAAAAAATGAATAAACAATTAAAACATTAAACAAATAACTAAATCGTTAAAAAACATATAAAGCAAGTACTCGGTGTAGTTAAGGCACTTTTAAAATTTTATAGCGTCTGTAAGATATTTTGTTGACTTTGACATATTTCCGTTAAATGGTCAGGTCTGTGAATTATGAAAAAACGAAATATATTAAAATGATAAATTTTGCGGTATCATAAATTATAAATGTTTGTAGCGATAAAACCCAGACTGAAGATTTTTTTTTTTTTTTTTTAAATCATCTTAAAGTTATAATCGCTCGTCCAAATTTGAATATGATTTTAAATTAATACGTTTTTAGGTTAAATGAACATTATAGTTTAACAATATGATCTGTTCTGATTGTTTATTGGCAATTTTCCTTAATTATAAGCTCTTTCTTGGTCGGAACTCTAGTATTTTTTGTGAAAATTGATAGAAATATTGTGTTTTGACGATTATATATAGTTAATATACGTCAGAACCGATTAGAACTAGGATCAGTAGTAAATTAGGGAACTTTTTTAAAAGATTTTAACTAAATTCATGTTAATGCCGATGAGTGGAATTAATTTAAAGACTCCAAAATAGTGTTCTTTAGATTCACTATTACGAGTAATAAAAAGGTTTTGAAAACTATTTAAAAAAAAAGAAAAGTTTCTTTAAATATTAAAAAAATCTTAAGCAAAAAAGTTATACCATTTAAAGCTTTTATTTGGACACAATACGCTGATAAAGTCATGCTAATTCCAAATAAAACTATTCGAAAAATTTGTAAATCGCCTTAACTACACCGAGTGTGTAAAATTTTTTTTTTATTTCTCAAATGTTTTGTTATAACTTAATGAAAAGAAAGTGTTACGTTTGTTGTTGTTTGCATTACAGCGCATGAATAACTTCCTATAAGTTTATGACAATATTACAAAAGTAAAACTCATTAAAGCGTGAAGATGCCGACTGTGAGTGACTGTGACCGACTGTGAGCGTTTTGATTTGGTTCAATTAAACTCGGGAGAATTTATTAATTTAAAGATCATGGATATTTAATTTTTGACATAAGGAATCTCAGTATGATAGGGTGGAAAATATTGAAGAGGTATGGTCTTTACTTTTTCAATATAATGAAAGTCTTGATTCTTGTATAGGGATTATTGGGATATAATTGTTTTAGCTGGTTAAGATATGCAGTAAATGGCTCATTCAAATGCTCAAAATAAAATAACTGCTTAAAATGCTCATTCCCGTTTTTGATTGCATATTATTTAATTGATTGGCACCTGCAATTTACTTTTATGCAAGAAAATTAGCCTGATATTTAAGAGATTGAATATTTTCTACAAAATGTATTAAAATACTTATGAAATATTTAGGTAGTTGCTATAGAAACGTTTATTGTTTTTCCATCCCACAACCAATGCGAGAAAAGCAAAAGCTCACAACTTTTTTTGTAGACGAAGTGTTTTTTAATAAAAATTAATAAATCAAAAACAATTTTTTATAAATAGTAAAAAATAAATAAATGCTATAGAAATCAGATAAAAAATTATAGAATGATAGAAAAGTGTAAAAATTGAAAAAAATGTTAGAATTGACTTAAGTATAAAAACGTGCGTATCTCTATAATTAAAAATTCAGATTTACATTTTGTGCTGTTTATTGATTTTTAAATATCAAGAAAAAAAAATTTTGTGGTTGTACTAAAAAATGCTTTTTTAGTACAACTATAAAAGTTGATTGTAATAAAATTATGAGATTCGTTAATGTTCTTAAGTCAAATTATATCAATTTGGACTGCGCGAAGCTGCTAAACATACAATTTTTAAATCACTACGAACGCGTTATGCTTTATTGGGTAAAATTTATGAAAATTTTTATATAATTTTGCTCATAAAACTTAGCTTATTTTATAAGCAAAATTTGGATTCTTTGACCAAAATACTATTATTTTAACATTGTTTTTATATAATTACAAGATTTTTTATATTAATATAATGGTGTATATAACTAGGTTTTATACAAATGTTTTAATGGATTTATTTACGGACCTTTTAATAAAGAAAAAAAACTATATGAATTTAATTGACTGAAAGATTTAAAAATATTGAAAACCATAAGTTATGCCATGTTTTTTTAAATTTTTAAGTTTGTATTGAGTTTTGGTTTCTTTAATAAAATTGGTTTCTTTATAAAAGTAAATAATTTATTTTAGATGAAGTTAATTGGTACTGTAAACACCATTTTAATCACAGTAGTAATTTGGTCTTTGGTACGCTCCGAAAAAAGGATCTTAAAAGGAAAACAAGTAAACAAAACATCGTCCGTTACAAAAACAGCATCAGCCACAAAAGCATTAACCAACACAAAAACGTCATCGTTTTCAAAAACCAAAAATGGAAAACGTTGGATGCAAACATACCCTTCAAGTTATATACAACAACAAGATTCACTACAAAGCACTTCATTTAATAATCCGTATGGTGAACAGCCGTTTGGAGGACCACCAGACAATTTAGGATATGGTTTTAATGGTTTTAAAGATAATTCGTTTCATGATATTTATAACTTAAATAAGCAGTCATATGGTAATGAAGATCTCACTCCAAACTTTGGCCAAGATGAAAATGCGTATTTGAAACCTGGTATTGGAGATTACCCCTCTGATTTACAAATAAATTCTTTAAACAATTTGGGAGGTTTAAGACCAAGTTCTTATGATTTAATGACGAATGTTGGTCTGCCAATTCATGAAAAACCAAAGACTCAAAGATTTTCACAAGCTCTTAATTCCTTAGAACAAATTGCTCTTGATGACGCTGCTTTAAATCCTTCCGCAATGCATAAAAAGCCTACAAATAATGTAGTTTCTGTGGATAATGCTAATTCTGGAGATAATGCTCCAAATTCAAACAAATTAGAAAGCAGCGGAACAGCCGTAAAAGTTGCACAAGAACCACTTTCAATTATAAAAGAAGAAACATCAACCGAGAGTGTTCCAGCCGTTGAAGCTAAAAACGACGGTAAAGCTGCCGAAGTTCTGCCAAAAATTGAAGCCAAAGAAGACACAACTGACGAAACTTCTACAGAAAAAACTAAAGCAAAAGAATTTTCAAAACAAAAAGTTGATTTGTCTGTGCAGAAAGATATGTCATTGCAAAAAGATATGTCATTGCAGAAAGATATGTCTTTGCAAAAAGATGTTTTAAACTTATCTAGCAGCAAGGAGGTAAAAAGCGAGAGTTCTTTAAAAGATAGCACCAAAAATGAAAAAGAAGCGTCAACATTAATCTCTTCAAAAGCGAAAACTCAAAACGGTTAGTAAACAACGGTATTACTATTTACAATTTTACTGTTTTACTATTAAAAAAATATTAGCTGTCATTTTCCGGCAGTTTTTTGTTATTATTATTATTATTTTTATTATTGTTATTATTGCTATTATTATCATTATTATTATTATTTTTGGCACTAACATAAAACCGACCATCCAAGCTAGTTTTGCAAACTAGCCGTTTGTCTATAACAAAACGTAGGCGTATTGATAGAAATACTTTTATTGAAAAATATTTATTAAAAAATATTCCATGGAAATAGTTTTATTAACCACCTAAAATTTTTACTTGCAGGTCTTTTATAAAATATGTTGGTATGTATTTTGTTTTCTATTTAAAGTTTTAAAGCAACACTGTAGAGTTATTTTAAAAGCAAGAAAAAGAAAATAATGAAAGATAAATAATAAAAGATAAAACTGTATTTTATTGAAAATAAAATACAGTTAATTCCCAATAACTCGAACCTCATAGGGACCAAGGAAAATGGTTTGATTTAACAAATGTTCGATTTTCCGTTAAGTTGAACTTTTTTCAATACTAAAGTATAAACATTAAATTTACACCGTTATATTAGTAAAAGCGTAAAAAATATTTCAATGAAAGAAGTTACGTTTCATATTCACGCTGTTCACTCAAAAGATAACTTTCAAAAAAAGTTTACTAATAGAGCCAACGATATCGATTGTGTCCCTCCGCTTTGAAACCCGTGTAGTCGGCCCTAACCAATATCATGACATTACCAGACACACAATAACACCATGACATTATTTGGTAATAAAGTTGCGTCTAAAAGAAATTTATTAAGACTTTAAAATAGTTTATTATGACTTGTTTAGTAGGTAAAAACCCCCAAATCCCAGGATTTTAATTTGGGCAGGAAATCTATAAATTTCCAAAAAGTATTTTGTAAAAAGAATTTTTTTTTTCTGGGAGATTATTTCAAGAAGGATTTTTTCCGGGGTGAATTGTTTCCTAGAACCGTTTTATTATATAATTGTTTTACATCTAAAAACGATCTATTCTATTCAGATCTAAATTGAAAAGCTTAGTACTATAGGGGAGAGTCGAGTAGCCCCGGACACATAAGAAAAATATAGATTGTGCACATGTGCTAACAGAAAAAAAAATTTAAAAGTGTCAAAGATTTTTTAAAAGTTCAAACATTCATCTATCGAATTAAAAACAAAAAAAAAATTATTGTGTATCTTAATAATATACAAAACATAAAAGAAAAAATCTTAGAAAAAAAACATGTTTCAAAATTGGAGGGTAGCCCCGGACACATAGTTTAACCATGATTTTACCTTATTTTTACCAGAGTGACTCAAATGTAATATATAATAATTTAGCAGTGAACTGTTTTCGACACTTTTTTAAAAAAATCGCCTTTAAAAATTGCCTCTGATACATAAGAAATGAGAATGAAAATGTCATCATTTAAAAATATAAACATAAGCTTTTTTATAATGAAAATAAACACTTTAAAAACACTTTTTTCAAATCTAATGTTTTTTTATTGGAATAAAATGAATTACTGTTATAGGTTTGTGTATTATATTAAATGTATTAATATCTATATGAAAAAGTTGTTTATTATTAACATGTAAACGAATTAAGTTGTCCGGAGCTACCCCTTAAAACAAGTGTCCGATACCACCCGATCATACCTCATTCACAAATACTAGTTTTAAAACCAGTGAATTAAACTTTTTAACGAATTTTTGTTTAATAACTATTGTAAATAAAAAAATATATTTAATCATTAAAAAGTTATTATTTTACATAAAAAAATAGGTATATTAATATGTGAATCAAATATGATGATACGTCGCTCTTCTTGTTGTGGGAAACAAAATCTTGCCCTCCCAGTCATTCGCTTCAGCATTTTTTGATAGATATTTTGCATATGCCATATTTTTACTCAAATAATTTTGTTTTAGTATTAAAAGTCACATAGCTTCTTTAATTTAAGCTGTACATCAAGTGTCCGGAGTTACCCGCCGTCCGGGGCTACCCGACTTTCCCCTAAGTACTCTAGTCACAAAGTAAATGTTTTGAGAATCTACTTTGATCAAAAATATAGCAATTCAAATTAAGAATTTAAAATGGCTGATCAAGGTAGATTTTATTAAAACATTTGTTTTGTGACTAGAGTACTTATAGCACTAAATAAAGAGTCAACAATGAAAAGACTCGACACACTTGGAAGGAACGCAGTAAAATCGAATTTTAATGTCTCCATATATAGTATAAACTATATACTCTCTTTATTTAATTAAGGACTTGTCAAATATACACCAAAACAAAATAAATCTATATATCTGCCTTTTAAACAATAAAGTAACTTTTGAAATTATTAATTCCCAACTTAATTACTGTTCAGTTAAATCTTCTTTTTTAGATGATATATAAGAATGATATTCATAAACTGAAAATGAAACCTTAATGCTGGTTAAAAAAAAATAAAGCTTAGAGACTCAGAAGGCCGGGTGAATAAAAACAAGTAATTGTTTTTATTCAGTAATTAGTCAGCTTTACGTGAATAAAAATTTCAGCAATTTTGCTTAAGTTTTTTTTTTATTCACGTAAAGCTGAGCAATTACTGAGTAAATTACTTATTTTTACAAGAATAAAAATTTGTGCAAAACTGCTGAAGTTTTTATTCACGTAAAATTGACCAATTATTGAGTAAAGCAATTGCTTTTTTTTATTCACCCGACCTTCTGAGTCTCTAAGCTTTACTTTTTTATTTCTTAAGAGTCGTTTTTTATAAGATTTTTTTTTTTTTTGAATGAGGCAAAATGAGCAACTTGAAATACTTAAGTTATTGGATTTTCTTGAAATTTTCAGGGATTCCTTTAAATTATTTCATAAGAAAAACCTGATAATTTGAGACGATAATTCAAAGCGGTTCAAACGTTACTGCGATTTGAATTTTCATAAAACATTGACTCAATCGTTTTTCGTGTTTCGATATAGCAACTTCATGCAGTTAAAGAAGTTGTTTGAAATGAGAGGAAGTGATGATTTTTTATAAACAAATATAATTTCAAGTTATATACATTAATGAAAAAAATTGAGTTTTTTAAATATTTGCAATATACTTTTTCCATTACCCAAAACTACTTAAAGGGTGTTCAATAACGCAAATTTTGTACTTTTGAGCACCAAATCTCTGGTTAATCAAGGCTTATATTAGTATATTATAAGTTTTTAAGAAAGAAAAACTTTTTTTTTTCTGCAAATATAGTCAAAGTTATTTAAAACTCGATATTAGTCTAAAAATCATGTCTCAAAACCTCACTTTCTTTAAAAACGGTAAAATTTATGCTAACATTGAGAAGCAAAAGATCAATGTGCCAACGAGCAGTTTTTTGAAAATGGTTTATACACCTATATACTTTCAATATATTTAAAATACTTAAATGGGTGGTTTTGCTGAAATGAAAATATCTTTAACCCTTTATTTGCTTTTTCTAAACTTACATAAGCGACAATTAAGTTTCTTCTCGCGATGTTCAGGCCAATGATTTAAACAATCAAGCTGAATAACTCTATTTGGTAAAGGAAATTAATTCTTCCGCTTTTATGGTGCCATTTCCTAAGACAATTTTCTTTTAGTCTGTCTACCAACTGCCGCAAAGGGTTTCTCTGCATAAAACAAGCTAAATGCAATTTGTGTCGTAAACTGAATTAATGTCAGCTGTTTTTGTTTAGAAATATTTAATTGATTGCAATGACGCTGCATATCAACCATCCTTAAATAAACCACCAAACATAATTTAGAAACTTTAACTTTAAATTTATTTATTTACAATACATTTGGTAAAAACTATTTTCTTACTATTTTTTGTTGTAATTATGTTTTTCATATGCTTTATCATAAAAAACACAAACTAATGAAGAATTTAGTGTTTTTAATATTTGATAATAACTATATGTTTCTTTAATATAATTTAGATTTTTCTAATGTAACAGTAATGTGTTTTTTAATATTTAATTTATCTGTAAGAGTTAAACCATAACAGCGTTATGGTTTCCATAACAGCGTTATGGTTTCCATAACAGCGTTATGGTTTCCATAACAGCGTTATGGTTTCCATAACAGCGTTATGGTTTCCATAACAGCGTTATGGTTTCCATAACAGCGTTATGGTTTGAACCAAAAACGAATTGCTGTAGTTCATAACAGCCAATTGGCGGAATCAAAATAACTGATTAGATATTGATCACATATACAAACATTATAAAGTTGGATGCATGCAAATAATTAAATTCTAGGCTTCAACTAATAAATTAACTAAAAACATTTATATTAAAATCTGTAAAACCAAAACAGGTCATTCAAAAACACTTTTTAATGTAAAAACATAATAACTTTATCGTCGTATTTTATAATATCCCATAGTTCAGTTTTGCATAAGTTTGTTGCAAAAAGATTGTAGTAGACTAGGATTTTATGAAGATATTTTCCAAATCTATCAAAACTCAAAGTACTTTTTTGATTTGGATTTAAAAAAGAATGCCGCCATTTGGCGGTCCAATAAAGAGTTAATTCAAAAAGACTTTTGATAGTAAATATAACAAATACAAAAGCACTATGAAATCTACAATAAATCTATAATAAAAAATATTAATTTATTCTCTACAGCATTTGTTTATCACTTCCATATCCTCTATGCTAAAAACAAAATTCTCCATAAGTCGTTGCACCGAAATTCTATATGAAGGATGTTAGTGACTAATTATTTTTTAATATTTATTGCATATGCAAGTGTCTAACTTCAATTTTCTTTTAATGTCTACATTAAATTTTTATGCTTAAGGCTTTTTAAGGTTTTTAACGTTGCAATATTTTAATCAAACCGTTGCATTTAATAACTAATTAGTCTTCAATATCGTATAAACTTCAAATTTCCAGAAAAATAAATTTTTTAACGTCACAATGCATTGTAAAGTAAGAATTAAATTAGTCTAAAATC